GATATTAGGGACATTTACCGTATTATTAACGTAAGTATGTCTCATTTTGAACAAACCTGTAAGTCAACAGGACAGTGCACGATGGTGAACGGCCTGCTGTAGTTTCCAGAATCATTTGGTCTACACATTTAAATTTATGTTTCCTCTTTGAAAGTGTCATTGAGAGTTGTAGTTTATTGTGTTTGAGCTGATAGGAGTGGAAGGAAAGAGAAGGTTGGCACGCTACATTAGACATAATGTCAGTGCTCAGATATTGCTGCCTCTTTATTTAGTGCCCTTAGCTCCTCTTCTTATTCCATTGACCTCTTGTATTTATTGCATGAGTGCATGTGTATATAGCAGTTATAAGCATTGCACATTAATATAAAGTGAGAGTTTTACTTTCTTATTTATTCCTGTCTAAATGATGGAATTCATTTGGAATTATTCATTATTTTAGTAGCTTGCATAAAATGAAGGCTTTAAGACCAAGCAAATTTAAATGTGTAGACTTTTGCAAGCGGCAATTCTATTTGATCGTAATTTGCAATGTGATAAAAAAGCTAAAAAACAATAGCCTAACTATAATGGCATCAATAACTAACTATTATTAACGTAAGTATGTCTCATTTTGAACAAACCTGTAAGTCAACAGGACAGTGCACGATGGTGAACGGCCTGCTGTAGTTTCCAGAATCATTTGGTCTACACATTTAAATTTATGCTTCCTCTGTGAAAGTGTCATTGAGAGTTGTAGTTTATTGTGTTTGAGCTGATAGGAGTGGAAGGAAAGAGAAGGTTGGCACGCTACATTAGACATATTGTCAGTGCTCAGAGATTGCTGCCTCTTTATTTAGTGCCCTTAGCTGCTCTTCTTATTCCATTGACCTCTTGTATTTATTGCATGAGTGCATGTGTGTATAGCAGTTATAAGCATTGCAGATTCATAGCTGATTCTACACGTGTTCATGATCACACAACATGACCAGTTTGAGTCCAGCCTATGACATTTACTGATACCATTTTCCCTTCTTGTCCATTTAATTTCTTGTCTCTCTGTGCACTGCTATCAGGTGGAAATGTTTTCAGCATTTAGCACAATACAACGAGTGTACATTTGTTGTGCGTAAATGCTCTTATTTATTTGCTGTAATTTGTGGTTTGTTTGTATTATGGACAACTGGCTGTTACTGTCCGTCATCATCCAAA